ATGGTCGTAAATTGAGGACTCCAAGATCATCTTTTCTCCAAAGGGAAAGTGTTCAATCCCAGAGATTATCTTCTTCTTCTTCTTTTTTTTTTTTTTGACATTTTTCAGCTCTACACTATTCCTTTGGGAGAAGAAATAGTACATACTGTAGCTCTACACTGTTAGAAAGCATTGCAGCCTTTAAGTAAGGACCTTTCTAAATGTGAACATGGGCAACTCAGAGAGTTTTATTTTAATCTCACCATTTTAGTTGGGATCCCTTTTCTCGCGATCCCAAGCGTGGGCTTTATCTTTTTCGGAGCTGCCATTCACTGATTGACATTTCCAATTACTTATCAGGATGCAGAAAAGAAGAAAGTATTGCCCCGAAGAAGAAAATTGCAAAGGAAAATTAGTTTATCACCTGGAGGTGAGCAAGAAAGATTTCTGCTTCCTCCCACTGCACTCATTTAAATTCACTCCTTTTCGGCCCACATTTCTAAAATATAGGGGAAGGCTGTTTTTACATCAACCTTAGAAAAGGCAGATCCAGCTAGAAAATATGTAATTTAAAAGCTCGCCAAATGTGTATGTTCATTTCTAGGATTAGAATGCTCTTATTGTATCCATAGCCTCCTTTTGTTAGAGATCTGTCAAAACCATTATGGCATCTGCAAAGAGACTTACGCGGTAATCTTACACTGTCTGAAGACAAGTTGGGTTCCTTTCTTTCTCAGCCCTGTTGAATTCCTCCTTCAAAGCAAGAGGGAAAGAACAGCTTTCATATCTTTCTGTGGGGTTTGTACACCTGTTTCTTTTCTTTTTTTTAATTCTCCTGTATTCTCCACCTGACTTATTCTGAACATAGATTATTCTGCTACTTTGTCCGAGACTCTGGTCTCTTAGAGGAAATTGACTGTGCAGTTCAATACAATCCTGTGTCAATGCAAAAATAAATATTCTACGGGGCTTGCTTCCAAGAAAATATGTCCAAGGATCATTTTTTTAATCATAGAAAAATTATAAGGCAGTTAGAAAACTGAAGATTGTTGCTAGGCATGGATGCTTACGATTGGCATAAGCAATAGGCCCAGATAGGTTTTGTACAAAAAAAAAAGTGGTTTGGGAGATTTTGCTTTGAATGAAGCAGTACAGTATGAGAAGATCTACTGTATGTGGGAGATTGATAAATTATATATGTTTGTGTATAAACCAACTTGAGGGAGCTAGTTTTAGTTTAATGTTGGATTCCTTACCAATATTCCTTACCAATTCATTCATTCATTCATTTTGCAGGAGAAAAAAAATCCAAAGAAACCAGTCCCCACCTAAAATTGTGATATTATGTTATGGTTTCTTTCTATCTTTCTATCTATCTATCTGTCTGTCTGTCGATCTATCGATCTATCTATCTATCGATCTATCATCTACTTTTTCTCTCATTTATCAACTATCACAGGAGTCCCCAAATCCCGGGCCACAGCCCACTTCTGTTCTGCCCCAGCTACAGACCCCAAAGAACGCAGCACACAGAAACTCTATACAAAGCTTATTTTACTCAAATAACTCAGTCTTTATCAACCAAAAGCTGTTAATAAGCTGTCTTAACAGCCAACCAGAATTCTAAGATAAGGTAATCACAGTCTTACTAGAGTTGGCAGAAAGCCCAGAAGCAATTTTGCAGAGAATCCAGACATAAAGGAGCGTGAACTAAAGTTGTTCCCTGCAGTTTGCTGAAAGTGGTGTTCCTCCTTAAATAGGCTAAGGGAGTGGCCAATTAGCCCCAAGCCTTAATCTCAAGGAGACCTCCTCCTGAGGAGCCACTCCTGCCTTTTGGCAGCTCTGCGCGCCCATGCATTGAGAACAGGCTCCTCCTCTTTGTCCTCTTCACTTAAAGGCGCTTCTGGAGGTTCTGAAGGCCCTGGCTGAATCCCTGCCTTGGCACCACATCTTCTCTAGCCTCCTCACTGTCCGACTCGAACGCCAGCTGCACAGGATGCTGGCGCAGCACACCAGCCTCCTCGTTGTCAGAATCAACTACAATTTGCACAGGCCGCTGACGGGCCACAACTTCCAGGCTGTGGCCTATTCAGAACCGGGCCACACAAGCAGTGGGCTAGTGTGCACATGCACAGCTCCACTCATGTGCATGGTGGGCCGACGCACACGCAGTTCCACTTGCAGTAGAGCTGGGTGCCCATGTGCATGTATACTGCACGAGTGGAGCTGCACACGCACACATCAGCGCACTGTTCACATGCCCCCCCCCTCCTCAACTGGGCCACCAAGCCACAGAGGTTGGGGACCTCTGATCTATCAAGTTTGTGAGTAGACTTTTGCCTTCCTTCCCTCAATAGTTCTTGCTGATATTTGGTCAGGAATGCAGAAAGTCCTATGCTGCAAATCCTACACTTATAAATTATGTCCTGATGCCTTTTGTACATATCTTCATGCAGCTTTCTTGATAACAGAATGGCAGCAGGTTGCCACTGTATTCTTCTAGAATGCTTTTTTGACTTTTCCGACAGGCCTACATCCTGGGATTTCCTAGTAGTCTCCCACCCAAGTTCTAACTTTTACACAGCTTTTTTTTTTCTCAATAATTTTTGCTTTGTAACTCTTTATTATTATTAACACTTTTAGCACAGTCAACCAGACGTTTAGATTCATCACCAAGAATTCATCTTTTCAAACCATATTTTTCTTCATTTTTTATTTTTGTCTGATCCCTTTGAGTCAGTGTTGTCTCCCGTGACTGCCTGGACAAATCCCTGCAGTATTCTTGGTAAGGTTTTTCAGAAGTGATTTGCTTCTTCCAAGGGCTTAGAGTCACATTGTGCTTAAGACAGGACTAGAACTCACAGCCTCCTGGTCTCTAGCCTGATGCCTTAACCACTACATCAAACCAGCTCTCTTTATTTCATAATAGTATACTTTGATCAGTGGTGAAATCCAATTTTTTTTTACTACCAGTTCTGTGGGCGTGGCTTGGTGGGAGTGGCAGGGGAAGAATATTGCAAAATCTCCATTCCCTCCCCACTCCTGTGGGAAGGACACTGCAAAATATCCATTCCCAACCCAGTCCTGTGGGAAGGACACTGCAAAATATCCATTCCCACCCCACTCTGCGGCCAGCCAGAGGTGACATTTGCCAGCTCTCCGAACTACTCAAAATTTTCACTACTGGTTCTCCGAACTAGTCTCAAACCTGTCAGAACCTGCTGGATTTCACCCCTGACTTTGATGTAGATGTTGGGCTGGCACCAGGGACTCAGGTTGTAGCCCAGCTTGGGTGATTCATGGCATCAATCATTCTTTCTCAGTCCAAACTACCTTACAAGGTTGTTCTGGGGAATATCAGAGGAATGGAATGGAGTACTGTATATCCCACCTTGAGCTTATGGAATACAAGGTGGAAAGTTTATAAGAACAGATAAATAAAACATAAATTCAGGCATGTTACAGTGGGAAAGGGAAGAATCCCAAAACTTTGTTGACTGTGTGAAAGAATAAATTTGGATGCTAGCACTTTGCTAGGTGAGCAAAAAAGCCGTAATCACACTTTTTAACACACCTATACAATCCTCTTCTCCCACCCCACCCCCCCACCCACTTCAGCATCTTGTTCAGCTCAGACCCTGCTTCTGGTTGCAAATATTTGTCAACTGAATTCACCTTGCCTTTCAGATGGGACTCACAGTCCCCCCCCAACCTTCTTTCTTTGGGGGAGTGAGGCTGGAGAGAGAGAGAGGTGGGGGGGGAGAGAGAGAGAGAGAGAAGGGAGGGAGGGAGAGAGAGAGAGAAGGAGAAAGACAGAGGGAAAGGGAGGGAGGGAGGGAGAAAGAGAGGGAAAGAGAGAGAGAAAATGTCAGCAATAAATCATGAAGGATTGGAAAACTAAAGAACCTCCTGTTACAGTAATGAAATTGGTGTTTTCCAATGGATTATCCTTCTCTAGAAGATGGGAAGCAATGTAGATATTGTGATCTACTTTTTGGCTAAGCGTTTTGCGATCTTTCTCTCCCATATTGCTTTGGAGAGCTTTTTTTTTTCCATTTAGGCAAATCAATAGGATTATGTTGTGACTCAAAGGGCAGCTGTCCAACTCTTTTGCTTTTATACAAAGCAATATCCAAGAAGTTTAATAGGAACACATAATAAGAGGAGCAGAAGTCCTCAGGGTAGACACCAGGAGACTGTGAATTCTAGTTCCGCCTTAGGCATGAAATCCAACTGGGTGACTTTGGGTCAGTCACTCTAGCTCAGCCCAACCCCTCCCCCCACCTCCCAGGAGGTTGTTGTGTGGAAAATAGGAGGTGGTGTATTAGGTATGCTTGCTACCTTGAGTTATTTATAAAGAAGAATAAATGTAGGACAATAAATAAATAAAATACAAATAAACACATCATCTTTGCCCCACTTCTGTTGCCTGAAAGTATACCATTCTAACATACAGTAAAATGCTTCAGCGGGCAGCCCAATAACAAGTTTTGTGTTTTTGTTTCTCTTGTCCGAGTTGAAAGAAAGTTTTCTTTCTCATAAGACGCTAATCTATGTTCATGAAAAACAAATCCTTTTCAAAGAAAAGCAAACCAAATGCGATCCGGAGCATCGTCGGGATGCCAGCTGGAGGCTGCAATAAAACCAGGGAGCCTATTGAAAGCCCAGGCCCTCCGCAGGAAAGCAAAAAAAAAAAAAAAAATGCACCTGTCGGTGAAATACAGCCAGTTCGAAACAGGATTCCGCCTGTTGCGTGTGTATGTGCGTGTGCGCGTGTTTAAATGAGTGTTTGTGTCCCCTCTCTTTACCGCTCCATTTCATCCGATTCCAAGAGTCCTTTTGAAATAGCCCTGGGCGGTGGGGGTCCTTTGGATTATTCTTCCGAGCAAGACGCCTTTACTACTGGGGCTTCGTCCTCGTACGCGAAATAGTATCTCGCTCCGCCTCGAGCAAAGCTATTCCGTTCGTGGTACTAGAGCGACCCCTGTAGGATCGATCTGGAATTATTACTTCGTACGGATCGCGTAAACGAAGGAAGTGGGGAGGGGGATTCGTTCACCTCCGAAACAAGCGGGTAAGAATTTTTATACTACATACTTTCTGAAGAAATAATCCACTATGTATGCTAGCCTTCTTACAAGCGAGGATTTAGCAAGCCTAGATGTAAGAGGAAGCAGTTCAGGCTGCATAACATCCGTAATCTCTCATTTATTTGAGGGAATCAAACCTCACTGAATTGGGAGGGAAATATTTCTGGTTAAACGGTGCAACTCAGGGTAAAGACTTAGTTCATTCTTTTCTCCTGATCTCCGTGCCTGGATTTATTTTAATTCGTACGGTTTGTACCAGTGGTGAAAATTTTTTTTACTACCGGTTCTGTGTGCGTGGCTTGGTGGGTGTGGCAGGGGAAGGATACTGCTAAAACTCCATTCCCTCCCCACTCCTGGGGGGAAGGATATTGCAAAAGCTCCATTCTCACCCCACTCCTGGGGGGAAGGATATTGCAAAAGCTCCATTCTCACCCCACTCCTGGGGGAAGGATATTGCAACAGTTCCATTCTCTCCCCATTCTGGGGCCAGCCAGAGGTGGTATTTCCTGGTTCTCCAAACTACTCAAGATTTCCGCTACGGGTTCTCCAGAACCTGTCAGAACCTGCTGGATTTCACCCCTGGTTTGTACCTTTCTGAAAAGAAGCACAGAGTAAACTGATCTTGTTTCTTGCCATGTTCATTCTGCTAAATGCTTTCAGCCTGAAGTTGAAGAGAAAGAAAATACAGAAGGAAAAATAAAATAAAATCTTGAAATGGCCTATAAGGCCATGTTCTTTCCAATATGTCATGTGGCTGTTTCAGCACTTTTCTGTTTTCTTAATATTGCAGGATTTTTCTTCCCCTCGCTTTTTGTATTATTATTCTTTTTTAAAAAATAAATAAATAATCAGTTTAATTATTAAGGATGAAAGATGGAAAACAGTTAGTCCTCGACTAACAACCATTCGTTGGGTGACCATTCAAAGTTACCATGGCACTGAGAAAAGTGAGTTATGACGGGTTTTCACACTTACAACGGTGGCAGAATCCCCATGGTCATGTGATCAAAATTCAGAGGCTTGGCAACACAAACTGTATTTGTGACAGTTGCACTTTCCTGGGGTCCTGTGATCCCCATTTGTAACCTTCCCAGCTGGCTTCCGACAGGTAAAGTCAATGGGGGAAGCCAGATTTGCTTAATGTCCGAATGACCCACTTAACAACTGCAGCGACTCACTTAACAACTGGGGCAAGAAAGGTCATAAAATGGGGCAACACTCACATAACCACTGTCTTGCTTAGCAACATAAATTTTCGGCTCAATTGTGGTCATAAGTCGAGAACTATCTATAATGGCAGAGAAGGGCCAACACAGAGTCTCAGTCTACAGTTATTAAATTAAATGCTGTGCTTCTACATATAGATGGGCATTCAAGTCCATCAAACACTGACTTGCTGTAAACATTGATCTGCAGTAAGCAATCAGATGTGCCCAGAATCCTGTGGAAAAATCTCGTTTGTAATCTTCATACACAGAATTCTTTTAAAGAACAGTATCCATTTCCTACAGAGCATCTTAGAGACAGAGCTCTTATTATAGTTTATAGACCTACACATACGCCTCAGTAGCATAGCTTGAAGCCCTAGGGTGAAAGAAGAAGAGATGTTTCAATTCTCCTCTTCCAGAAACTTCCGAGGTTAGATGTCCTTTGGCTCTACCTTTCCTTGATGTAGCTGCTCCTGCCACCAGCTGTCTTCCAGGAAAAAAAAATCTTTGAACTGGTATCCTCCCCTTTAACTCAGCCTGGTGAGAGGCCTGTGGGCCTTAACTGGCAAATGCAAAGGAACAAAAAGTTTTCAAAAATGAAATAAATTCTGTGTGACTTGCCAAAGCAGCCTCACCCCTATTGGGAGATAGATTGATAGATATTGTGGGTAGATAGATATCAATGATAGGCAGACACAAAATAATAAAAATATATATTTTTAAAAGAGAGAAAACATGAGAATATAAACATTCCTTTCCTAAGTAGCCATGTGTAAAACACAAAAAAATAGAAGCCATAACATTAGAGTGCACTTCAAAACACAGAACATAATATCCAAAGGAAGAAGATAAATAATAGAAACTAAGGCTCTGAGATGGCTGGATGATAGTCTATTATAATGACATTATTATGATATGATATGATATGATATGATATGATATGATATGACATGATATATAATATAATAAATATATAATATATAATATACAATATACAATACAATACATTACATTACAATGATCTGTTATCTAAGATTCTAAGTCACACTTCGAGCTTGCAACAAGAAATATGCAGTCAACATCAGACACTATCTCAACTAGCACATATAAATTGATATAAATAAAAAATTCTGGCTAAATGTTCAACCATACTTTATAATAGTGTTTCTCAACCTCAGGAATTTTTTTTACATGTATAAATTTTAAATTAAAGATTTTCCAAAGAACATAAACATTAAGATAAACAAAGGATTTTAAAAAGCGAAGGAAAAAAGAAAAAGAAAAAGCGCAGAAGAAGAAAACCAAAAGGGATAGAAAGAAGAAACTTTGATTTCTTTGGCAGCAAGTACAGGTACAATTACAATATTGTCTCTTAATCTGTGATTACAGAAAAATCTCACTTTCTTTATTACAGATAATATTTTGTTTAATCGTCAAAATCACCAAATAAGCTGGTTGGGGAATTCTGGGAGTTGAAGTCCATAGATCTTAAAGTTCCTAAGGTTGAAAAAAAAAACCTGTTTTAAAAGACAAAGGATCACCACAGCAACCTTGAAACAGGCTTAGGAACAGTATTACCTTGTTCCTTTCCCTGCCCTGTCATTTAAATTCTAGCTTAGATCTTGAAAGACATAAGCTTTCAAAGGTGCCAAAACAAACAACCTTCCTCAGTAAGCCATAGTTTCAAGCAGGCAGATAATATATTCCCTGCACAGGGAGCAGCTGTCAATCTTGTGAATATCAAATGGCATCACAATACCTAGGCTGCAGCGTCTCTCAGATTGGAAATATGAGATTATATGGAGAATATACAATATACAGAGGTGGGGAAAAGAGGCCCAATTACTCACATGAGTTTCTTTTCATGTAAAAGTGGCCATGATTAATATCACATTGTTTTAAATGTCATTCTGGTTTGTGGCAGCTTTTTAACTCCTGACAACTTTTCAGACAATACTAGGAGTGATGGAAATGCAAATATAGTTTGCCAGTTTCTGCTGTAGCCCAAAGGCCTTGTCGTGGCATTGGAAACATTGCACTTCAGAAAGTAGCACAGGCCTGGCCTCTCCCAGAATCCCTGAAGCCTTATCTTTCTGTTCTCAAGGGAATGCAGTCATTCTGGTGAGATTCTTGTAATGTTGTTGACTAGCAATAAAACTACTGCTTGAGACTATTCACGAGTGATTCTGGCTGTTTTTGCCTGACATGGACTGACAAATTTCTTCAATGTGGAAATCAGAAGCCTTGCTGCCATCATCACTATCACCAGTTCCAGAGGATTGTTCTGCTCACACCAAAGCAGTTGGTGAAGACATCATCAAAACGGTGAGTGATTTCTCCCTCTCTCACACAGGCTGTTAAATTTGTTTTTAGAACCATGAGCCATATGATTTGGGACCATATCTAATCCACAGACCATAGGCTGCTAATCCCTTCTCTAGTTATTTTGCTAAATAAAATCTCCTCCAGTTCCTATAGTACTTTCATCAAGCCTGCAATCAATTTGTCTACCCATGGGGAAGGTCTAAGGGATTTTTTCCCTTCTCAAACCATTATCTCTCCATTTCCGTTTGTTTTTCTAGACTTTTCCCAGTTTGGTTTCTGGTAAATTATAAACTCTAGATCACTCGCATTCTGATCACCCATATTATGCCCTTGCTTCTCGTGGCAACCTCCTATCAGTTTGCATGCCTCTGAATCAGTCTTTGTTCATAGCCACTGCCTGGATTAGTCCCTGTAGTTTTCTTGGCAAGATTTCAAGAGTTGTTTGCCATTGTCTCCTCCCTAGGACTGAGAGGGAGTGACTGGCTCAAAGTCACCCTGCTGGACTAGAACTCACAGTCTCCTGGTTTCTAGCCTGCTGCCTTAGCCATTAGTCAAATTGTCTTTCTTTGGTTAAACAAATGAGGTCTTTAACTGATAGATGCTCTCACATACCCCATGGCAGGCACAATAAATGCCAGCACTGGCTATTTCTTGGATACTCTGTTTAGCAGCTGGAATTACGAATAGAGAATGGAAGTTGCTGGCTTCCAAGCAGAGAATTTACAGTGAAAAGAAATTAGGACAGCAAGAAAAAGAGGATGAGAGAAAGCTCTATAGCTCCATAAGCAAAATGCCGGAATCCACATTCAGGAAATATTTTGTTTAGAAAAACATGCAGATTTTGTGGCTTCAGCAGTAAAAAAAAATTCCTTTCCCCTTTGCTTCACCTCCATTTAATGAAGAGTGCTTAAGAAATAATTCTTGTGATCTTTTTTATAGTTTGGATAGCCCTGAAATGGTATTGGCCACCTGTGGTTTCAAGAAATGCAGGAGATTGAGATAGATTGTCCAGAGGCCCCAAGGAGATACTGCAATATCAGTGTAACAGAGAAAGAAGCCCAGTGAGCAGAACGTACCGAAAATGCTTTGTCTAATGCAATCCAGCCTGCAAACACAGACAACACAGACAAGGGAAGAAAGCAAAGTAGACCAAGCTTCAGATATTTCAAAGTATTCCCCCTAGAGCATGCTCTTACTAGCTGTGAACTCAGCAGCAGCAATGAGATCTAGACATGAAGCAAACAGAAGGGGTTTTATTTTAAGTTCATGACTTCCTAATTGTGATACAAAGCCAGATTTCTTCTTAATAAGAGAAAATGTTATTATCTGGCTTTGTATTCCTTCTGAGCTAAGAAAGCAGAGCTGCATTATCTGGGCTGCAAAAGTCCAGATACCCATATTTTTTTTGCAAGCTAGCCCATAACAACCCTAATATAAAAATTAATTCTCTAGAGATTCCCCCCCCCTCCTGAAATCTGGTTCTATGTCAAGGTGGAAAGAGAGTCAAATACTGATTTTATCAGGAGCCAAGCACATTTGTGTTGTTGCTATCATGCAGGTAAGTATTCAAAGCATCTCTATACTTGATAAGATAGAGCCAGTTTGGTCTAGTGGGTTAAGATATCAGGACAGAAACCAGGAGACTGTGAGTTCTAGTTCTGCCTTAGCCATGGAAGCTAGCTGGATGATTTTGTCCAGTCACTCTTTCTCAGCCCAACTCACCTCATAGGATTGTTATTGTGGGCAAAATAAGAGGAGGAAGGTGGGGATACATTCACCGTGTTGAGTTATGTATAAAAATAGTAGAATTGGAATTTAAAAAATATAAATAGGATAACTAAATAGAACTAAATTTATTAGTTTTAAAACTAATACCTTCTACTTATTCCCATGTTCCATTTATTTTGTTTATGAGGTAAACATCAAATATTTTTCTCAGTTCCACTTTTTGTTTTTGTTTTCTTGCTTTGTCATGTTGCTGGATGAGGAATTAAATAGACATTATTTGGTAGCTTTCAGTTGGCCTAATTGAGAAGAAATCTAAAACGATGTATACCAGAGGTGGGTTTCAGCAGGTTCTGACCAGTTCTGGAGAACCGTTAGCAGAAATTTTGAGTAGTTTGGAGAACCGGTAGTAAAAATTCTGACTGGCCCCGCCCCATCTATTCTCTGCCTCCCAAGTCCCAGCTGTTCGGGAGGAAATGGGGATTTTGCAGTAACCTATCTCTGGAGTGGGGAGGGAATGGAGATTTTATAGTATCCTTCCCCTGCCACACCCATCAAACCACGCCCACCAAGCCACATCCACAGAACCGGTAGTAAAATTTTTTGAAACCCACCACTTATGTATACCTTATATTAAAAGTATATTAAAGGTATATTAGCAATAGCACTTAGACTTATATAACGCTTCACACTGCTTTACAGCCCTCTCTAAGCTGTTAACAGAGTCAGCATATTGCCCCCAATAATCTGGGTCCTCATTTTACCGACCTCGGAAGGATGGAAGGCTGAGTCAACCTTGAGCCGATGAGACCTGAACTGCCAAACTGCTGGCAGCCATTGATCAGAAAAAGTAGCCTGCAGTACTGCATTCTAATCACTGCACCAGTGCGGCTCACATTATATTAAATATTAATATAATTTAAGATTAATATATCTTAAATCTTTTTTTAATACTTTTTCTCACAGTGGCAGGACATTATGCTATCAGATTTCAACAAGAAAGGGCTCTTGAACAAAACATTTTATGAGGCCATATGTGATTCTGAGATTACAGGTTGTCCACTACTTTAAGGCAAGGATTAGTGAAAATTGACTCATTTAGCTTTCTGACAACTTAGTTTTGACTGAATTTCTTTAAAGACATGAGACACTTCACCCTTCTTGAGGCTAGTAGTTGCACTGCTATCATACTTAAAAATCCTATGCTGTTTTCTCATCTTCTGATGCAGCCTAGCTATCTCTTTTCATTCCAAGGACTACCACCATTGCTTGCAGGGTTTGCTGTATGTGCTGGGATTATTTCAAATATACTTTTGATAAAAGAGAAATACAAAGTATAAACAAGAGGTATGTTTAATTAGAAGTATGAATAATTAGAGTAGAATAATGTATCAAGTTTGGTAAACCTACATACAGAGGTACTTCGGGATAGAGCTAATTGCCTGGAGAGTAACAGTAGCTAGTGGAAGATTTTCTGTTCCCTCTGATGTTAGAATGTGAGATTCTGTTCTCTATTGAATGTTTGCATTTCTTGTTGGGCTGCACCACCTGTGAATACTTTCCTGCCTATGTAATAAATTGAAATTATTTTGTTTGGCTTTGCTAATTCAGTCCTTCTGCTTTCTGCCTCTCTTGTATATTTAGATCCACAAATCTATTGCCCACCGAAGGAAGACAAATATATGTGTCTCAGGATAATGTAGCAAGATGCAATCTGGGTTGGTCACCAGGACCAAAGGTTTAGTCTTCCAAGCTTTAAACTGAAGATGCTGGAGCCCATCTTCAGGGAACTTCTTTGTAGCAGAGTGTGTGCCCACTCTTTTCTAAGACAAAACCAGTGGTGGGTTGCCCCCGGTTCAGACCGGTTCTATAGAACTGGTAGTAAAACTGGTGGGAGGTTCCTCCCACTGACCCTGACGTCACCAGAAGCAATCCGCGCATGCGCAGAAGCTTCTGTGCATGCGCAGAAGCAAGGCGTGTGCGCAAGCGAGCGTGCAAACACGAACCCATTGCAAACCGGTAGTAAAGGTAAGTAGAACCCACCCTGGACAAAACCCTCATCCGTTGTGACTCCGAGGAAAGGGGGATTTTCCCTTTGAGTAAACAGCTGGGGTTTGAGTTTGATTGTAAAGGCCCGCAGTAAACACTCCACTTTTCCTCATTTCAAAATCTCCATGAGAACAGAGGAGAATGATTACAGCTGTTAATTGGTGGAGAGATTTGGGAGGTAGTTGAATAGGTGATTGAGATGGAGAAATGCTGATCCCACTAATCCTAAAGTAAAGGTAGTCTGCAACCATATTGTGACAGTTACATTAAGAAATCTCATTGAAAACAATAGCAGTAATATATAGGAACGCTGTTTCACTGACCTGAGTCTGTACTTTGTAAAGTAAAATCTCTTTCCTCCCTTCCCTTTATCAATATCATATGATTGAAGATGTTCCATGGCAAAAATGTATCTCCCACTATCTGAGCATCTCCTCTCTGGTACTCTAGCACTCTTGTACTCTTTGTACAATTTGGCATCTCCATGAGCCCACTGAACAAGAGGAGAGGGAGGAACATACTAATAAACCACAGACTAGTAGTAGATAGAGTTACTGTACATTGGGATTAAACTTGATTGTGCTTTCCAAAACATATAACACTTCTAAAAAGTAGTATTATAGTTGGTTGCACAATCAGGCAGATATTTAAACTGGATTTGGCATTTTTGTCCACTTATCCCAGTCCACATAATTTTTCAGTTTTGACTTTCAGATATTGATACTTCGTGATCTTCTTCACTTGTCTCTCCTCTATTCAACTTTCTCCTGGTATTGCTATCTCCTCATCAATCATCCACACTTCCTTCTTTTCATTTGTCCACTTATCCAGGCCTTCTCAAGGACCAGCAATCTATTATTGTTTAATAATATCAAAGCTATTGTTGCAAAGCTATAAGTTGTTCTAAGTAAAGCTGCCTTTGGCAATTGACTTGGTGATTTTTGTCCTTGCGGATGGTCTTCAAGTGATGCTTCAGTCGGTTTGGATTGCACAGAGGTGCCTATTACTATTTGGTATTGTTTTTTATTTGCCACAGTCGTTCTCTTACTATTTGTGAGTCTTTGTGATTTTTCTCCAATTCTTTCTCTTCTGTTTCTGTTTCCAGGTATGCAAGGTCCACGATCCAGACTTCTTTGACTTTCTTTGCATATTTGTGACTTTTCTTCCAGTAGTCCTGCAACTGCTTCCCTGGTTGCTCAGTCAACAATCCTGTTACTATTAATAATTGATAGTTAGATTCACAGTCTAAGTGTTGTGGCCTGTGAGCGGCCTGTGCAGCTAGTAGCTGATTCCGACAGCGAGGAGGCTGGTGTAGTGCTGCGCCAGCAGCCTGTGCAGCTGGCACTAGAGTCGGACAATGAGGAGGCTGGAGAAGATGTGGTGCCAGAGGCGGGGATTCAGCCAGGGCCTTCAGAACCTCCAGAAGCTCCCATAAGTGAAGAGGAAGAAGAGGAGGAGCCTCTTCTCAATGCACAGGCGCGCAGAGCTGCCAAAAGGCAGGAGTGGCTCCTCAGGAGGAGGTCTCCTCGAGAGTAAAGCTTGGGGCTAATTGGCCACTCCCTTAGCCTATTTAAGGAAGGACGACCACTGAGGCAATTTGCAGGGAACAATTTAGTTCACTCTCCTTCGCGTCTTGATCTTAGTTCTCTGCAAATTGCTTCTGGGCTTTGTGCCAACCATAGTAAGATTACGATTATTTGTTCTTTGGATTCTTGTAGGCTGTTAAGAAAGTTAATTAACAGCCTTTAGTTTGAAAAAGACTGATTTAATTTAATAAACTAAGGTTTGTACAGACTTTATGTGTGCTGCGTTCTTTGGGGTCCGTAGCTGGGGCAGAACGCTAAGACTAGTGAAAACTTAATAATTAAAATCCTAAACAGATACCCAAAGATTACTAAAATAGAATTCAAGAATATAAGCAGTTCCAAGCAGGGTGCTATTTTGTAAAATTAGGGTGCTCAGGTCCAACATATTCAATATTTCACACATCGTGGGAGTCATTTTGGTATTGCTCTGTGGACTCTAAACACAATTGGTGTAACAGTGGATTTTTTCCCCTGTAAGTGTTCACCTTTTATCTGCAAGTCCCAATATCTTACATATTTTTTCCAATTATTTTTCCTTAATCCTAGCATCACCCGGTATAGCAATATCAATGAAACTAGACTTTTTTCATTTCAATAACTGTTATGTGAGGCATATTATGAACAAGATGCCTGCTTGTCTGTTTGGATCTTAAAAATCGTATACAATTTTAAGCCTCTCATTTTTTAAAAAAATATTCCCAATTTGATAGTTTCAATAGTCTTTACTGCATTCAGATCCAAACCTCTGGCAAAGTTTCCAATGAATAATTTTAGCAACTTGGTCATGCCACTGCTTGTAGTCAGTTTGCGAAATTTTGCTGCAGCCATTGATCAAATGGTCAATTGTTTCATCATTTTCATTACAAGTCTGCGTAATTTTTCAGTTTTGATTTTCAAATACTTTGTAATCTTCTCCAATTCTTTGTCCTCTGTTCTATTGTCTCCTGGTATTGCCATCTTCTCATCAATCATCCACACTTTCTTCTTTTCAACGATGGTTAAATTTGGTGTGCTATGAGCCAAGACTTCTATCAGTCTGTATTCAGAAATACCACAATATTTTAACCTGCTCATTTTAAACAGATTTTTCAACTCTATTGTTATTATTCCTTAACTAGGCAGGGCGAAAAAAATTGGAGATAGGTGATCCTTCAAATAACAAGGCTATATGCCATTAAGGTGGCATAGGTGACAATCAGCATCTTCAATTTACCTGGAAATTGATTGGCAACTATGGCAGCTCACATAACAGTAGAAATACATTGGCATAATAAAAAGTACCTGTTACTGCTTGTACTACCGAATTTTGAACCAGCTGTAGGTTCTGGGTGGTCTTCAAGAGCAGTCACATGTAAAGAGCATTGCAGTAGTCCGATCATGAGATGACCACTGCATCATCATCATCATCATCATCATCATCATCATTATTATTATTAATAATAATAATAATTAATTAATTAATTAAATTTATATACTGCCTTACTCCTGAAGGACTCAGGGTGGTGAACAGCCAAAAGATAAAATACACATAGTACAAACTTTAAAAACCATTTTAAAATACATTAAATACTTTGGCCCAAAACAAATTTAAAACACCCCAATTTATAAAACAAATTTAAAAGCAATTAAAAGGGAGGTTAGGCCAGACCAGCCTGCTGGAATAAGAATGTTTTGAGGGCACGGCGGAAAGTGCGCAAATCCGGGATCCTCTGTATCTCCGGGGGGAGCTTGTTCCAGATGGCAGGTGCCCCCACAGAGAAGGGTCGCCCCCTGGGGGCCGCCAGTCGACATTGTTTGACCGATGGCACCCTGAGAAGACCCTCTCTATGAGAGTGTACTGGTCGGTGAGAGGCTACTGGTGGCAGAAGGCGGTCTCGTAAGTACCCCGGTCCTAAGCCATGGAGCGCTCTAAAGGTGGTAACCAAAACCTTGAAGCACACCCGGAAGACCACCAGGAGCCATTGCAGCTCGCGCAGGAGGGGAGTCACATGGGAGCGCCATGTTACTCCTGTAACCACCCATGCGGCCGTATTCTGGACCAGCTGGAGCCTCCAGGTGCTCCTCAAGGGGAGCCCCATGTAGAGAGCATTGCAGTAGTCCAGGCGGGAAGTGACGAGGGCATGAGTGACTGTACGTAACGAGTCCCGATCCAGAAAGGGGCGCAACTGGCGGATCAGGCGAACCTGATAAAAAGTCCTCCCGGCCACAGCCGTCAAATGCTCTTCTAAAGACAGCCGTGAGTCCAGGAGGACACCCAAGTTGCGAGCGCTCTCCGTGGGGGCCAATGACTCGCCCCCAATTGTCAGTGATGGCACCAACTGACTATATCAGGACTTCGGAAACCACAGCAACTCGGTCTTGGATGGGTTGAGCCTGAGTCTGTTTCTCCCCATCCAGATCCATACAGCCTCCAGGCACCGGGACATCACTTCAAGAGCATCATTGGGGTGATCCAGGGTGGAGATGTACAGCTGAGTGTCATCAGCGTACTGATGGTACTTCACCCCAAAACCATGGATGATCTCACCCAGCGGCTTCACATAAATATTGAACAGAAGGGGAGAGACAACCGGCCCCTGTGGCACCCCACATACAAGGGGCCTCGGAGTCGACCTCTGCCCCCTGTCAACACAGACTGTGACTGGTCAGAGAGAAATGAGAACCACCGCAACATGGTGCCCCCCCCCATGGATGGTTGCATGAGTAACCATCCAAAGGGCCTTCCCAATTGAGGAAAGGGCACACTTGAAACACACGAGAAAGAAGAGATATGAGAGTCCTCCTACAACTACTACCTACTACTCAAGCTACAGCTGGAAGTCCAGGAGGAACCCCAAGCTACCCTATCCAAGATCAATGGTGAAAATGTCCCAACCTGTGGGACAAAACAGATACAAATACTGAGACTTACCAGGATTGAGCTGAAATCTATTCAACTTCATCCAGATCTGACCAGTCTACATACACTGAGCCAATCCATTGACAGTTTCATGTAAGCAGTCGAGCATTGAGATGCAAAAACGGTATCATCATCATACCAAACTGACAGATGACCTCCCCCAGAGGTTTCAGGTGCACATATTAATCAAGAGAGAGGAGAGCGTTGAACTATGAGGCATGGTAAGTGAGATTTCTCTTCCTCTCCTCACATTAGCATCAATTGGGACTGACCATTGGGGAAGAAAACCATTACTTCCCACTCCCAACCTCCACTGCCTGTCCAGAAGCATATCCTAACCGGCAGTATCAAAAGTTGCTGAGAGATCAAAGAATGCAAGAATGGATTCACCACCCCCGTATCACTTCTATCAAAGGTCATCAGCAAGCACAATCAACTCTTCCCCTGGTCTGAAACCCAACTAAATTACCAAATCCATTTCCGTAACTGGAAAAAAAGAATCTCTTCCCTAAAATGTTGGATTACAATTTCCAGAAACTGTAGTCAGATTGCATATCTGTGGGAATATTGTAGCTGTCCTACAATAAACTGGGGAAAAATGGAGAGAAGTTCAGAAATGGTTCATTTCAGGAAACTGTAAGATCCAGAACCCATCACCTGGATGAAAGGGAAGTGTCTCTGATGGCACTAAAAGACTTCAAAGAATCAAAAGAAGAGAAGTAAAGAAGCATAAGTAAAAATGGACATCTAACAGTACTTTCAATAAAAAGAATATCTGTAGCTCAGGGATGAACTTTGGCGTCCTTGGTGCCTTCTAAGTTTGGTGGTTTGCAGACATTCCATGCTACCACCAAGTAACATCATCACTGCTAGTCAGTATGGGATTTTCCTTAGAACTCTCTCAACTTTGTTATTTTTCCTTTGCCTTTGTCCTATAAATATTTGAAGCAGACAAGACAAACAGCTTATAGAGATATGGCACAAAACTCAAAATGATATACAAGGATTCAAGCAATGCCTTAATTAGACAGAATTTAAGATCCAAGCAAGGCTCGTCTATTCATTAAGACTTGGAACTGATATATATTGCTTACTCTGCAGTCATGTCAATCTACATCCAAGTAGCTCTTCTTTTAAAATAGGTTTAAAAGGAATTGAGAACCAGTTTGGTGTAATGATGAAGGCACCAGGCTCGAAATCAGCAGACCAGAAGATCTAGTCCTGTCTTGGCACAAAGTCAAGTAGGTGACTTTGGGGCAGTTGTGCTCTCTCAGCTCTAAGAAGCAGACTGCGGCAAGCCACTTCTGAATATTTGCCAAGAAAAATATATGGATAGTCCTGGCAGTTGCCAGGAATCAACACTAATTCAAAGGAGTATGTGCACACACACACACACTATAGTTCTAAAAAAAGAAGAGCACTCTTCTTTTTTTTAGAACTATTGTGTGTGTGTGTGTACTCTTTTTTGAAAAATGAAATACAATACTGCTGTTCACAGAAACAGAATTGGAATTATCTGCAAAGATATGGCATTACCTTAACAGGTATTTTGAACATCTCCCTCCTTTTTATATGGTCTCCATAACTCTAATTTCCCTTTTCTTTCTTCCTGTTCCATTACAAGCATTTGGAATATGTGACTTTGAATAAACTGTAAATGTATAAATGAGCTCAATTTGGGCTAATACATGATCAGTTTTATCAGGACACGGTAGCATTTCTAATCTAACCAGTCATATCCCATAGATAATGACAATATGAACATATCTATCAAAAAGAAGATAACTAATGTTAAGGACTTATCTCATACTTATCTCAAAGATTATAAATATTATTTACAGTTCTTTTCCTATCACCCTGCTTGCTGCATCTCTCTGAAAAGGACGTGTTTATCCCCAAAGGAAATACTGGACTTTATGAATTGAAGCCTATAGTTCTGTCTTGGTAAGGTACTTTCCAAATAAATTGAGATCAATGGTACATGACAAATGAGCAGACTTTGCACTTACAATGAAGCATATAGCTCAGTTCCTTAAAATCAAGTTAACAGAAGTATCTCTTAAGCTTTGAACAAAGTCAAATGCCTGAGGTGGACAGATGATTACCTTAAAGTAGATGGCATATGAGGGCAGGAGGAAATGTATGATCATTGGTGACCTCACTCCACAAAGGTGCTCCTAAATGATAGGATGAGAACTGAGCAGAGAAAATTTCTTCTGCCTCCTTTCTATAACAGAAGCCTAAAGAAATCGGTCCAAACGTGCTCGTTGTGTGAAGTTGCAGGCTGAGGAAATGGCCCTGT